CCCCCTTGACCTGTCCGTCCTCCCTGGACTGACCTATCCCCTTCCTAACTCCCTACCTACACTCACCTTTACTGGCTCCATCCCCGCCTCTTCAACCTGTTTGTTTCCTCTCCACCTATCCTCTCCTCTATCCCTCTTCTATCCGCCTCCCACTCTCTCCCTATTTATTTCGGAACCCCCTTCCCCTCCCCCTTTTCTGATGAAGGGTCTAGGCCCGAAACGTCAGCCTCTCTGCTCCTATGATGCTGCTTGGCCTGCTGTGTTCATCCAGCCCTGCACCTTGTTGTCTTACATTTTTCTGATCCCAGTTTCCAGCATTTAACCCATAGCCTTATGTGTTCTGACATTTCAAGTGCTAATGTCAATGAGATTATTCCTGTAATCTCAAATGACACAATGTATGGGACTGAAGTTTGCAATGGTCAATTTGTGTTAAAGCCCTCTTGAGGATCTCATCCTTGTTTTTAGCCACGGAGGGAGACACACAAACATCCACTGAGAGTGACACAGGCCTCAGTATTATACCCACTCGGTGTGCTTGACGTCCACTGTCTGCTCCCACACACAAGTTTCTCTGACAAAAGGCAGCTTTAGGTGGAACACAAGCGACTTCTCCAGACAATTAGAACCGCTGCCATGAGCTGGGATATGAAATGGACAGTGAGCTTCAATACTCCCACACACTGCTTCTGTGCAACTTTCAATTTCCAAAACTCACCAACCCAATCAGTGCAGCTCTTGGGAATCTGACAAGACAGCACCAGGCAGACATTCCCCACTGGAAGCAACTGTCAATTTGCAAGGTAGAAAAAAAGACTGCTGCACTCGAGCCAGGGAGGATTCGAACCTACAATTTTCTGATACGAGGATCAGATGTGTTATCCCTTCCATCGCTGGCCTAAACTACATGATCAGGTGTCACTTCTTGTGGAGTTGCAATGTTAACAAGGACATAGGCAGAAATGGGATTGAAACACAGGGCACGGTGGCTCAATGGTTAGCACGAATACCTCACAGTGCCAGGGATCCGGGTTTGATTCAACTCTTGGGTGACTGTCTGTGTGGAGTTTACACATTTTCCCTGTGTCTGCATGGACTTCCTCCAGGTGCCCAGGTTTCCTCCCACGGTCCAAAGATATGCAGGTTAGGTGGACTGACCATGCTAAATTGCCCATAGTGTCCAAGGATATGTAGGTTGGATGGATTAGCCATGGGAAAAACAGGGTTACACGGATAGGGATGGTGTGTCTGGGTTGGATGCTCTTCAGAGAGTCAGTGGAGGGATTCAATTATTTCAATAAGAAGCAAGTTTTTTTTCAGTACTGTGTCTGAGTAGGCGAAGGCAATGGATTTCAGCGGTTCTTCCCATTTTCTTTTATCTCTGATGTGAAACTCTTACTGACTCTGTCAGAGCTGCTCTCTTTGCTGTTTTTAATGTCAGGAATTTGTGTTCATTTCAAGAGTTTGTACGGGAACAATAAATCTTCATTCTCTGACCGGGAATCAAACCCAGGAAACAGCTGTGAGAGTGCTGAATCCCACCAACTGAAGCACCAACGAAGACACACGCAATGCTTGCAACTTTTCCCGTTGTCACTGCTTTTGACGTTTTTTCAGTTGCAAAATGACAGGGAATCACAGTTTTTAACAGCATGGAGAGAGGGTCTTTGGTCATTATATCAAGGCCAGTCATTAAACATCTCACTTCGAAACCCTAGTTTCCAGCACTTGGCCCATGGCTTTGTGTGCTCTGACGTTTCAAGTGCTCATCTAAATAGTTATTCAGATATCATTGAGATGAGCGTTTCAGTGGAACAGTGGGCTCCTTCAACCAAAAAGAGGAAACTTTGTTGTTTGCTGGAATATGAAATCCACATTTTCCTCCTTGAAGACACTTCTGAAAGCCAAACTCTTTCTCAAAGCTGTTTGCCAATTTTCCTCACACCAAGTGTGGGTTTAAATCACGTTAATGATTCTCGTTTTCAACCTCTCTGTTCATCTGAGGTGTGGTATCCCTCAGGTTAAACCCATTACCGGTTGTCTCTGCTGGCATAAGAAAGCAGCCTGATGGTCCAGAGCGAGTATGACCGCTTTACCATTTAATGTGCGGTTCAGTGTCAGAGTTTGTGATATTATATCCCTGGGACGCACAAGGGATGTTTTATTCTCTATTATGTGTATTATACATGTCAGTTGTCCTTGTAGGAGATAAATAGAAAGATTATTTGTGCACATAACAACAAATAAAATCCCCACCCACACAATCCTCTTTGGTGCGCACGCGCGCTATCATCCCCGCCTGCCGGAGCGATCCTGAGGAGCAGTCGCTGTTTTCCTCGGCTCCAGAAAAGGTAACAATGAGGTTGAGCGGAGGAGGCGATGGACCGGGTGGTTAGTCGGAGAGGTTTCGTAAACATTTTATGGACGCGGCAGACCCTGTATAAAGAAATTATCTGCCCCCGTTTCATAAAACGGGACAAAAAAAAGGCTCTGTCTCATCGACAGGCCCCAGGTCGCGGCCGCATCTTTGTCGGGGGCCAGCAGGCAGCAGGGCGCATGTGCGGTCGTCCTGGGCCAGGGATAAAATGTTGTGAATGTCTCTCCTGGGCTTAACAGGGATGGAGTTTATAAACTCCTGTTACAGGGAGTGAGGAGGGGAGGATTTAAACACAGCAGACTCTAAGTAAGAGAAATATCTGACTCTTCTAAATTTCTTTCCTGGATTGACTGAGTTAGCTTTTGTAAACTTATTTTACAGCATGTTAGAAAAGGATATGCAGCTTGGAAGCTCGAACTAAATAACACTAACAAGATCTGAGCGAGCCATTTTATTCATTTAGCACTGGACATTGTTGGCCTTTGAATGTGTAAGTATTGAGTAAAATCTAAACGGATCATAAACCTAGACCTTTAACAAATCTTACCTTGATCTCTTTTGCTGTAAGTTTCTCCAATCTAACCTTACAACTAATATCCCTCATTCCTTGGAACATTCTGATAAATCTCATTTAAATCTCTCCATGGTCCCTCGTATCATTTGCACTTATTTGTGCAGACCCAATCATTCTGTGTTCATGTGGATGATGTTATCACACACAGTTTCAGTAACATCACCCTGATTACTGGGTATTTCCTCAACTAGGAGAGTTTCCTCTGACCCCACTGCTTCTGATATCTTTGAGCTGCAGACTCCAACATTTGATTTTAAAGTTGAAAATGAAATTATTTCAGTAATTTTATCAGTAACCTACACAATTCAGCTTCTAGTGCTGTTCTCAGTTATCTTACTCTGGGGCTGGTGCAACCCCTTTACTGTGAATGTGAATCAGTGTCCATCCATTACTGTATTTTATCTCTGCTCTCCCTGATCAACTCTCTGTCATTGTCTAACTTCCTCTGTCTCCAGTAATGGTTGTAACTGTGTTAGGTATTTTATTGTTACTTCCCCTGACTCTCTGAGTAAGGTTTTTACATGTGAACATCTCCTGACCATTTTTTGGCAATTATCTTCCCTTAGTACCTCCCACAATGTCATTAGGTAAGGAGTTATTCGCCAAGTAGTGATGAAGTGACTGTGATATGTATCCAAATCAATGATAATTAGCTTATATCGATAAAGTGCCTTTCACCGAATGGAAACTTTCTAGCCGTTCCTTGCGAGTGCTTTAAAGCAACTTTTGACCCCAGTCAAATAACGAGATACAGGGAGGTGACAAAATGTTTTATGGTCAAATATGTAGTTTTCAGGGAATATTTTAAAGAGCAAAATGGAGATCGAGAGGGAGAGGTTTAGTGAGGAGATTTCACAATTTATGCCTGAGCAGCTAAGGTTGAGGGCACCAAATGTGGAACAGTTAAAACTGAGAATGCTCAGGGGGTTGAAATGACAGATAATTTAGACAGTTCAGAGATTCATAGAAATATACAGTGTGGAAACAAACCATTCGATCCAACGTGTCCATGCTGACCAGATATCCTAAGTTAATCTAGTCCCATTTGGCCTACATTCTTTCCTATTCATGTACCCATCTGGATGCCTTTTAAATGCTGTAATTGTACTGGCCTCCTCCACTTCCTCTGGTAGTTCATTCCATACATGCACCACCCTCTGCATGAAAATGTTGCCCCTCAGGTCCCTTTTACATCTTTCCCCTCTCACTTTAAACCTATGCCTTCTAGTTTTGGACTCCCCTGCCTTGGGAACAAGACTTTGAGCTGTCCACGCTCCTCATGATTCTATAAACTTCTATAAAGTCACCCCTCAGCCTCTGACACTTCAGGGCTCAAACCTTCCAACTTTGGCAACGTTCTCATAAATCTTTTCTGAACCGTTTCAGGTTTCACAACATCTTTCCTATAGCAGGGAGACTAGAACTGTATTGCAAAAGTGGCCTAATCAATGTCCTGTACAACCACAGCATGACCTCCCAACTTCCATACTCAATCCACTGACCAATAAAGGATATCAAAGCATTTTTAAAAGTTCATTCTTGAGATGTGGGCATCGCTGGCTGGATTAGCATTTATTGGCCAGCACTATTTGCCCTTGAGATGGCTGGACTCTAGAGGACATTGCAGAGATAGTCTCCTCTATATCCATCAAGAGATTTGAATACGTGGATGAAAAGTTTAAAATTCAGCTGCATGAGCATGGGATGGTGGGTGAACAAAACTTGGTGTGAATACTCACGTGGTCAATAGAGTTTTGCATGACCTCTGCATTACATCACTAGGTGAATAACCTGTAACTCCTTCCTTTATAGTAGTGTGGGAAGATAAAGCTGCTAAGGCAGCAGCACATGGTTGGGAGAATGGGCAGTGGTAAAAACCTTTTTCAGACATAGTGAATGGAAGGAGCAATAAAACACTAACCAGAGCTCAAGTACTCCCATTAATAGAGGCAGAGGACGTTAGACAAGTGCAGAGAGAGGAATGTGAGAGGATGGTGGAGACTGCATTAGGACAATTAAGTCTAAAGGGAACAAAAGATTGGCTGAGACTTTCAGCAGCAAATAAGCAGAGACTCTGAGGAGTCAGGTGATGTTACTGAGGTGGAAGTGGGCAGTCTTGGTGCTGATGGGGATATGTGGTTGAAAACTCATTTTAGGGTGAAATATTTCACCACAGTTACGATGTGTTTGATTCAGACTCAGACAGTTGCCAGGGAGAGGGATGGAGTCATTGCGAGGCAGTGGAGTTAGTATTGGGGACTGAAGATAAAGGCTTCAGTTGTGCCATCATTTAATTGGAGGAAATTTCTGCTTTACCAGGACTGGATGTCAGAGACATCAGGACAGTGTGTGACCTGAATGGAACTTGAAGGTGATTGTGTACACATCCACCTGCTGCCCTGCTCCTTCTCGGTGGTGGAGGCTGAATGTTTGGAAGATTCTGTCAAAGTTCTGGTCAAGTTGTAGGTGTCTAAAATCCATCTCCTTCAGTCCCTATCTTCACACAAAAGGCAGACTCTTGTGAGAGATTCTCTCTTATTCCCTTGTTTTTCATTTGACGTCAATTTCACAGGACATTAGAAGAGGAAGATTTAGAAACCAACCATCATCTCACCATGATCTGATGGATTTGTCCATTTTATCACAAATTAAATGTGATCAGATTTTCAACATGGAAGGAAAAAGCTCCTTTCCCAGTGAAGGGAAACCATACACGTGTGTGTGTGGACAAGGTTTCAGCCAATCATCAGACCTCACAAACCACAAATGCAGTCACACTGGGGAGAAACTGTGGAAATGTGGGGATTGTGGGGAGGAATTTATTTCCCCATCTGAGTTGGAAACTCATCGATGCAGTCATACCAGTAACTGGCCATTCACATGCTCTGTGTGCGGAAAGGGATTCACTCAGTTATCTAACCTGCTGCAACATCAGCCTGTTCACACTGAGGAGAGACCATTTCAATGTCCCGACTGTGGAAAATGCTTTAAAACGTCCAGGGACCTGACGTCCCATCAACTAGCTCACATTAATGAGAGACCTTTCAAATGCCCAGACTGTGGAAAATGTTATAAAACCTCTGGGGACTTGACATCCCATCAACATGCTCATACTAATGAGAGACCTTTTAAATGCCCAGACTGTGGAAAATACTATAAAACGTCTGGGGACCTGATGGCCCATCAAAGTGCTCACACGGAGGAGAGACCTTTTAAATGCCCAAACTGTGGGATGTGCTTTAAAAGTTCCAGGGACTTGATGTCCCATCAACTTGCTCACATTAATGACAGACCTTTTAAATGCCCAGCCTGTGGGAAGTGCTACAAAACCTCCAGGGACCTGATGGCCCACCAACGTGTTCACTCTGAGGAGAGGCCATTCAGGTGCTCTCTCTGTGGTACTGGGTTCAGGCGATCATCTGACCTCACAGAGCACCAGCAGGTTCACATTGGGAAGAGACCATTCAGCTGCTCCGAGTGTGGGAGGGGATTCACTCGGTCATCCAACCTGCTGAGACACCAGCAAGTTCACACTGCGGAGAGATCTTTTAAATGCCCAGACTGCGGGAAGTGCTACAGAAGTTCCTGGGGACTGACTTGTCATCAACGTGTTCACACTGAGGAGAGACCTTTTAAATGCTCAGACTGTGGGAAGTGCTTTAGGAATTCTGTGGAATTGAAGTCCCATCAACGTGTTCACACTGAGGAGAGACCTTTCAAATGCTCAGAATGTGGGAATCACTATACAAGTTCCTGGGGACTGTTTTATCATCAACGTGTTCACATTGAGGAGAGACCTTTCAAATGTCTGGTCTGTGGGAAGTGCTATCGAAGTTCTGTGGAACTGATCTCCCATCAACATGTTCACATGATGAGAGACCTTTCAGGTGCTTTCATTGTGGGACTGGGTTCAGGCGATCATCTCAACTCTCAGTACACCAGTGAGTTCACACAGGGGAGAAAGCATTTACCTGCTCCATGTGAAAAAAACAGTTAGCTCACTCATCAACCCTGCTGAGGCAGCAGAGAGATCACACTTGGGGTGGGGTGGGGTGGGGTGGGGGGGGGGGGGGGGGGACTGTTCATCTGCTCCATGTCAGGGAAGGAATTCACCACACCAATCCTGCTGAGACAGCACAGAGTTCACACATCTCAGTGGCGATTGGACTTTGCTGTTCATCACATTCAGGAATTTAAGCAGAAGTTTTCATATTCTGGATAAAAGTTAAATAAATTAGCTTTATGTTAAACACAGTGTGGCAGGTCATTGTAAGGGTGTGATCATGGAGTACTTGAAGAGTCAGCATGACTTCGTCAAAGTGGGGGGGTTCATGCCTGACTGACCAGTTAGTATTCTTTTGAGGATGGACTGAGCAATGTGGACAAAGGAGAGCCAGTAGATGTGATCTATTGGATTTCCATAAGGCATTTGACAAGGTGCCATCCAGGTAGCTGCGAAATAAGGTAGGAGTTCATGAAGTTACGAGCAAGGTACTGGCATGGATTGAGGATTGGCAGACTGGAGAAGGCAGAGAGTTGGGAGAAAGGGGTCTTTTTTTCAGGATGGCAGCTGGATGACTAGTAAAGTTCTGCAGGGGTCAGTGTTGGTACCACAAGTATTTATGTTACGCATTAATGATCTGGACAAAGGAATTGAGGACATTCTTGCTAAGTTTGCAGATGACACAATGATAGGTGGAGGGGCAGGTTGTATTGAGGAAGTGGGAAGGCTTCAGAATGACTCGGACTCTGGCTAGGAGATTGTATTCCACCTGCCACTTCTCTGACCAGTGTGGGAAAGTGTGAAGTTATACATTTCGGTCAGAAGACTGGAGGCATAGACTATTTTCTGAACAGGGACAGGCTTCAGAAATCTGAAGTCCTAAGGGACTTGGGAGTTCTAGTTCAGAATTCTCTAAGTTAACATGCAGATTCAGTTGGTGGTTAGGAAAGCAAATGCAATGTAGGCATACCTTACAAGAGAGCTATCAAACAAGAGCAGAGACATACTGCTGAGGCTGTAAAAGGCTCTGGTCATATTGCACATGGAATATTGAGTAGTTTTGGGCCCTGTATCTGAGGAAAGATGTGCTTGTGTTGGAGGGGTCCAGAGCAGATTTACAAGATTGATTGCAGGGATAAGGGATTGCCATATCAAAAAAGTAGTCACATATTAGATATAAACAATTGGGTTTAAATGAATCTCTTACACAGTATAAAGAGTGTTGGGGTATTCCTAAGAGGGAGATCAGGAAGGCAAAGGAAGGATGTGAAACAGTCTTAGCAAATGAGGTTAAGGAGACTGTATAAGTACATTAGGAGCAAGAGAGCAACTAGCGAGGGAGTAGGGCCCCTTAAAGGTGAACGGGGTCTTTTGAACCTCAGGAAATGGGAGAGATATTAAATGAATATTTCATGTCAGTTTTTACTGTGGAAAGAGAAATGGAGGCTAGAGAACTCAGAAATAAATATTGATGTTTTGAAAACCGTTCAGGTTACAGAGAGGAAGTTCGGGAGGTCTTAGAAAATGTAAAGGTGGATAATTCTCTGGGACCTGATGTAGTGTAATCTAGGACATTAAGGTAAGTTAGGGAAGAAATTTCGGGGCTTCTTGCAGAAATATTTGTATCGTCTATAAATACGGGTGAGGTGCCAAATGACTGGAGTGTAGCTAATGATGTGCATTTGTTTAAAAAGGGATGTAAGGAGAAGCTAGGGAACTGTAGACCTGTGGGTCCAACTTCAGTGGTGGGTACGTTGTTAAAAGTAATTCTGAAAGGTAGGATTTATATGCATTTGGAGAAGCAAGGAATGATTGGGGCTATTCAGCATGCTTTTATGCGAGGGAAATCGTGTCTCCCAAAATTAATTGAGTTTTTTTGAGGAAGTAACTAAGATGATTGTTGAGAGCAGATTAGTACACATTGTTTACTTGTACTTTGGTGAAGCCTTTGACAAGATTCTGCCTGGTAGACTAATTAGTAAAGTTAGCTCACATAGGATTCATGGTGGTTGACGGTTATTTTTCAGACTGGAGACCCCTTACCAGCTGTGTTGCACAGGAATCGCTGCTGAGTCCACGTTTGTTTGTAATTTATACAATGATTTAGATGAGAAAAAAGATGGTATAGTTAGTACATTTGTGGATGACACCAAACTTGGTGACATAGTGGACAGTGAAGAAAGTTATCTAAGATTACAAAGAGATCTTGATCAATTAGGTCAATGGGCTGAGGAATGGCAGATGGAATTTAATTTGGATAAATGCACGGTATTGCATTTTGGTAAAACAAACAAAAGCAGGACTTGCACAATTAAAAGTAGGCCCTTGGGTAGCATTGTATAACAGGGAGACCGAGAGACTCTAGACACCTAATTCTTTGAAGTTTGCGTCATATTTAAATAGAGTGGTTAAGAAGTCGATAAATAAGCTTACCTCCACTGCTCAATCCTTTGTGTATGAATTGGGTAGTCATGTTAAGGTTGTACAGGACGTTGGTTTGGCCTCTTCCGGAGTACTGTGACCAGAACTGGACACCCTGTTATAGGAAGGATATTATTAAGCCGGAGAGGGTTCAGAAAAGATTTACCAGAATGTTGCTGGGAATGGAGGGATTGAGTTATAGCGAGAGGCTGGATGGGATGGGACATTTTTCGCTGGAGTGTGGGAGTTTGAGGCGTGACCTTATAGAGGTTTATATATTCATTAAGGGTATAGATGAAGTGAATGGCAGGTGTCCTTTCCCTAGTGGTGAGGGATTTCAAGACTAAGGGGCATATTTTTAAGATGAGAGGAGAAAAATTTAAAAAAGACATGAGGGGGAAATTTTTTTACACAGTGTGGATTGTATGTGGAATGAACTTCCAGAGGAAGTGGTGGATACAAGTACATTTACAGTGTTTAAAAGACATTTGGAGAAGTACATGAATAGGAAAGGTTTGGAGGGATATGGGGCAGGAACAGGCAGGTGGGACAAGTTTAGTTTGGGATTATGATTGGCATGGACTACTGGACTGAAGTGTCTGTTTTTGCGTTGTATGACTCCAGGACTCCATCTATGTCTGTCTGCAACCTCATGTCGTCTTCACATCAGAGTTTTCTATCCATCTTTAGCTACCTTCACCCCTGATCTAAGTGAGTTCGGTAAGTTGTAAAAGGTTAGGTCGTGTATTAGGCCCAACCATCTCCAACATGAGCAAGAGGTACAATCAAAGAATCCCTACAGGGCAGAAAGAGGCACCGACACTCTGAAGAGCATGCCATCCAGACTGTCCCCACCCCATCCCCATAACTCCGCATGGGGTTTCTATTGTGGCTAACACACCCAACCTGGGCATCCCTGGACACGATTGGGTTATTTTTAGCGTGGGCAGGTTCGCTGGATTGGCCATCTTTGGACCATGGAAGGAAAACTGAGCACCTGGAGAAAACCACACAGTCATGAGGACAATGTGCAAACCTCACACAAACGTTCACCCGAGGCTGGAATCAAAGCTGCATTCCTGGCACTGAGAGACAGCAATGCTAACCACTGGGCTAACGTGCTGCCCAAAATTACCTAGTGAAACCTGGAATTGAACGAACAACCTTAATATCTTCAGGCTAATATATTCCCAACTGAGCTATTTCAGCAACAACAGATACAGGGGAATTAAGCTTTTTTTTCCCCCCAGAATCAGTAGTTCTACACAGTCCTCTCCTGCTTACAAGTGGAAATGAAGATAATCAATTATCTAATTATCTTTTTTACGTAAGCATTTAAGGGCTTTGGGGAGAGAGAAGGGAATTAGAGTAGAAAGTTGGCATTGATGCAATAGGCAAAATTACTCCTCTGTGCCACAATGAATCTAAGACTGATTTCTACAACCTCTGCTCATGACATAACACTTGAGTCCAGGAATCATTTGAGGTAAATCTGCACTGTTACCCCAGGAAGGTCCAATCTCTCCTTCCTCAACTGTGGTACCCAGACATATCTTCTGGGGCTGCTCTGCACACAATTTCGAATTTCTTGGAGTTTTTCCGGTCATACTGACTCGGAAACCTTTTCACATAGACACAATAAACAAACTTATACCTTACATGGTGAAAGGCCAATTATAGTGAGGTCTTTGTGAATGGAGGGACTCTGTTAGCTATCTGGTTGGAATTGACAATCTGGAAATGATTCCCATTGAATGTGCTGTAAAAAAAGAGTGGACAGAACGCAGTCCTCCCCTCTGTCCAGGGCACAATCCTACATTCCAGATGGGCTCCTTACCGAACCTTGTCCTCTCCAACCACTTTTCTTTCTCTTCTCTTTTTTTTTTTCTTTTGACTGTTTGTTTGGTCTTTGGAGCTCGGTCGTGGAGACAGCGGCATTGATGGTTGGTCGAAGGCAGCTGGTCGCGATCACCAACCTTGTGGCTTCCTCAATGTCCAGAGCTGGACTCTGCAGCGAGAATCTGACGCAGCAATGGAGCATGGCAGAGGATGGGGCCAAAAATGGGCTGGATGACAGAAGCAGCAGCAGCAAAGGATGGCCGCAGTGGCAGTCATGGCCAAGGCCTAGTGTAGGTCGGCGGCTGCAGTCGGCTTCTATGCCTAGGGAAGGGGAAAGCATGCCCACTTGAAGTCAAGTTTGGACTGTCTGCAGGCTCATGGCTTAAGGGAGGAATGTAATGTATGGCTTTTTAACTTCACAGGTATTTCTGTATTTTTTTTCGTTTTTATACTGAGAAGACTGTAGTGCCGAAGTTTTTGTTATTTCTTTGTTTTTCAACTTCTGTAACTAAGATTTTGTACCTGGGTACTTGTACCTAAGTTGCCACCGTGTGTGGGGACATTGTTCACTTCTCACTGTCTCTTGTAGCCTGTACCTGAGAACACATGACAATAAAAGCTCAATCTAAAACAATGTTAGAAATCATTTCAGATTGTATTCCAACAGGTTTATTTGAAAACACAAGCTTTTGGAGCCTCAGTCCTTCTTCAGGTATTAGTAAGAGCGGTAGTATCAGACACAGAATTTACAGGTAAAAGATCAAAGATTCACACCACTGATGAGGATGTATTAAACAAACCTAAGATGCTGTTAAATCTTTAGCAGTTAGAAGGTTTTAATTGATTAATATGTATATGTAAATCCCCAAATGCCTTTCAGGTCACAGCCCTGAGAGAACTGACGGTTTTATTAGTGTTAGGAAGAGGTGTCATTTTAGTCAGACAATGCATGTTAGGTGTGAGGCCTTGTTTAGAGTCTAGTTGTGTTTTAGTTTAGAGTCAGAATGGTTTTATTTCTAAAATAGGCACTTATAAAATGCCACATTGACTGACTGACTGTCTATAAAATGTATCTGCGAATACAAATTCACGTGTGAATGAGGGACAGAAAGAGTGAGAATGGAAGTGACAGCCAGCGAGCCTGCCACTAGCCCAGCCCCTCACTTACTCCAACAGAGGTTAGAAGTCGAGTTCGCCCCTATTTTCGCTTGGTCAGAACGACGGCTCCGCCCCTCGCCCTCTGGTTGGAAGACCCGCAGCACCAGCTCCATCTTGGAGCCCAGCCCTTTTCTAACTATTGGTTGGACGATGTTATCAATCAGGTGGGTAGAGCGCTGCAACATGCGCACAGTTAATTGTGACTGTGAGTATGCATGCTGCGAGCGATGGCCAAAACAAAATGTTCGCCTATTACATCAACAGGCGATGAGTGAAGGTAAAAGAGGATACCAGCATTTGGAGCAATTTTCCGGCAAGAAGAATTCATGATTTGCCCGGGTTAGGTCTCAAGCCCCAAACGCGGGTTTTCTGGTGCCGCGACATAAGTCGCAGAAAGCCTCGGAAACAGGCCTCCCTCCAACAACTTCTCTTTCAATTCCTCCCATTTCCTACAGACAAAGGGGGTGGCCACGGGTACCCGCATGGGCCCGAGCTATGCCTGCCTCTTTGTAGGATACGTGGAACAATCCCTCTTCCAAAGCTACACTGGCCCTATCCCCCACCTCTTTCTCTGTTACATTGATGACTGTATCGGCGCTGCCTCGTGCTCCCACAAGGAGCTCGAACAGTTCATCCACTTCACTAACACCTTCCACCCCAACCTTAAGTTCACCTCGACCATCTCTGGTCCCTCTATCTCCTTCCTGGACCTCTCTATCTCCATCTCTGCATCCACCTGGAAACCGATATCCATTCCAAACCTACCGACTCCCACAACTACCTAGAATACACCTCCTCTCACCCACCTTCCTGCAAAAAGGCCATCCCCTATTCCCAATTCCTTCGCCTCCGCCGCATCTGCTCCCGAGATGAGGCATTCCACTCCCGGACATCCCAGATGTCCTCGTTTTTCAAGGACTGCAACTTACCCTCCACAGTGTCTCCCGCATTTCCTGCAACTCATCCCTCACACCCCCTACCCGCAATAACAACCGAAACAGAATCCCCCTCGTCCTCGCATACCACCTACCAACCTCTGAATCCAACGCATCATCCTCTGACATTTCTGCCATCTGCAATCTGACCCCACTACCAAAGACATTTTTCCCTCCCCACCCTTATCTGCTTTCCGGGGGGACCACTCTCTCTGTGACTCCCTTGTCCGCTCCACTAGAGTAAGATTGGGGCCGGTCAAGGACAGTCGTGGGAAGTTGTGCGTGGAGTCTGAAGAGATAGGAGAGGTGCTAAATGAATATTTTTCGTCAGTATTCACGCAGGAAAAAGACAATGTAGTTGAGGAGAATACTGAGATACAGGCTATTAGACTGGACGGGATTAAGGTTCATAAGGAGGAGGTGTTAGCAATTCTGGAAGGTGTAAAAATAGATAAGATGGGATTTATCCTAGGATTCTCTGGGAAGCTAGAGAGGAGATTGCAGAGCCTTTGGCTTTGATCTTTATGTCGTCATTGTCTTCAGGAATAGTGCCAGAAGACTGGAGACTAGCAAATGTTGTCCCCTTGTTCAAGAAGGGGAGTAGAGACAACCCTGGTAATTATAGACCAGTGAGCCTTACTTCGGTTGTGGGTAAAGTGTTGGAAAGGATTATAAGAGATAGGATTTATAATCATCTAGAAAGGAATAATTTGATTAGGGATAGTCAACACGGTTTTGTGAAGGGTAGGTCGTGCCTCACAAACCTTATTGAGTTCTTCGAGAAGGTGACCAAACAGGTGGATGAGGGTAAAGCGGTTGATGTGGTGTATTTGGATTTCAGTAAAGCGTTTGATAAGGTTCCCCATGGTAGGCTATTGCAGAAAATACGGAGGCATGGGATTGAGGGTGATTTAGCGGTTTGGATCAGAAATTGGCTAGCTGTAAGAAGACAGAGGGTGGTGGTTGATGGGAAAAGTTCATCCTGGAGTTCAGTTACTAGTGGTGTACCTCAAGGATCTGTTTTGGGGCCACTGCTGTTTGTCATTTTTATAAATGACCTGGATGAGGGCGTAGAAGGATGGGTTAGTAAATTTGCGGATGACACCAAAGTTGGTGGAGTTGTGGATAGTGCAGAAGGATGTTGTAGGTTACAGAGGGACATAGATAAGCTGCAGAGCTGGGCTGAGAGGTGGCAAATGGAGTTTAATGCGGAAAAGTGTGAGGTGATTCACTTTGGAAGGAGTAACAGGAATACAGAGTACTGGGCTAATGGTAAGATTCTTGGTAGTGTGGATGAGCAGAAAGATCTCGGTGTCCATGTGCATAGATCACTGAAAGTTGCCACCCAGGTTGATAGCGTTGTTAAGAAGGCGTACAGTATGTTAGGTTTTATTGGTAGAGGGATTGAGTTTCGGAGCCATGAGGTCATGTTGCAGCTGTACAAAACTCTGGTGCGGCCGCACTTGGAGTATTGCGTACAGTTCTGGTCACCGCATTATAGGAAGGATGTGGAAGCATTGGAAAGGGTGCAGAGGAGATTTACCAGGATGTTGCCTGGTATGGAGGGAAGGTCTTATGAGGAAAGGCTGAGGGTTTTGAGGCTGTTTTCGTTAGAGAGAAGAAGGTTAACAGGTGACTTGATAGAGACATACAAGATCATCAGAGGATTAGATAGGGTGGACAGTGGGAGCCTTTTTCCTCGGATGGTGATGGCTAGCATGAGGGGACATAGCTTTAAGTTGAGGGGTGATAGATATAGGACAGATGTCAGAGGTAGGTTCTTTACTCGGAGAGTAGTAAGGGCGTGGAATGCCCTGCCTGCAAAAGTAGTAGACTGGCCCACTTTAAGGGCATTTAAATGGTCATTGGATAAACATATGGATGATAATGGAATAGTTTAGGTTAGATGGGCTTCAGATTGGTTTTCACAGGTCGGCGCAACATCGAGGGCCGAAGGGCCTGTACTGCGCTGTAATGTTCTATGTTCTATGTTCCACACTCCCCTCCAGCCCCACCACCCCCCG